GGGGGCTGCGGCGGCGCGGGGTCTGGCGCGTCCCTTCACGTGGGTGGCGGTCCGGGCATCCTCGGAGCCCCTCGGCCTGGGCCCCGGTGCCTCGCCGCGGACAGGAGCGCGGGGACGGCGCGGGCCGCCATCCCCTGGTGGCTCCGGGTGCAGGAGAGGGACGCGGGCGCGGACGACTGGATAGCGGCGAGGGGCGCGCGGGGCCGCGGAGAGGGTGAGACGGCCGCTTGTCGCAGTGGGGCCGGCCGGAAGGTCGCCCGGGGCCGCGGGGCCTCTCGGGGCCGGGGTCACAGACACCTGCCGCTAACCCGACTGCTTTGTCCCTGCAGGCCTCCGGTCGGGACGCTGACGGCACTCACCCGGGGTGCCGCGGAGAAACGCCGTGCATTGCGGCGGCATCGGTGCCCCGGCCGCATTAGAATTTAAATCTGTTGTTTGGGGCACCATGACGCTGAGGCTCTTAGAAGACTGGTGCAGGGGGATGGATGTGAGCCCTCGGAAAGCGCTGTTGGTTGCCGGCATCCCCCCGACCTGCACTGTGGCAGGAACCGAGGAGGCTCTGCGGGCTGGTTTGGCGCCGATGGGCGGGTACAGACTGCTCGGGAGGATGTGCCGGCGGGATGAGAACAGGAATGTAGCCTTAGTAGGGCTGACGGAGGAGACGACTCGTGCTCTAGTCCCTAAGGAGATACCCGGAAAAGGGGGGTGTCTGGAGAGTGATCTTTAAGCCCCCAGACCTAAATAATGAATTTTTAAGCAGATTAAATGAATTCTTAGAGGGAGAGGGCACAACGTTGGGGGAGTTGACCAGAGCTCTTGGATACGGAAACGACCCTTTTGACCTAGGACAGGACACGATCCCAGAAATACAGGCCCCTGTGTTGGCACAGGCATTAGAGGAGGCTCTTCGGCCCACCCTGCGGTACCTGAGATACAGAAAACTGAGAGTGTTCTCAGGCAGTGACCCCCCAGAACCAGGAGAAGAAGAATTTGAATCCCGGCTGTTTCATACTACTCAGATGATGAAGACATGGCAGGTGCCAGATGCGGAGAAAAGAAGACGCTTGCTAGAGAGCCTTAGAGGCCCAGCATTTGATGTTATTCGTGTCCTCAAGATAAACAATCCCTTCATTACAGTCGCTGAATGCCTGCAGGCTCTTGAGCAGGTATTTGGGGTTATTGATAATCCTAGGGAATTGCAGGTCAAGTATCTGACCACTTATCAGAAGGATGGAGAGAAATTGCTTACGTGCTGAGGTTGGAGCCTTTATTACAGAAACTGGTAGAGAGAGGAGCAGTTGAGAAAGATGTTGTGAATCAGGCCCGCCTAGACCAAATCTTGGCTGGAGCAGTCCACAGAACCCTTCGCAGGAAGCTTGCTCTGCCACAGGATGGCCCAGCCCCTGGCTTATTGCAGCTACTGGCGCTGATAAAGGACGAAGAGGCAGCGGAGGAGGAGGAGGAGGCCCTTCTCCAGGCAGGATTAGAAGGGCATTTCTCCTGAATCTTAGGCAACCAGGAAGCAGAGCATGACGGTAGAAGAACAGTCAGTGTACTCGTGATAGACATTAATCAGTCCCTTCCTTGTGCTGCCGAGGAGCTCATTCTGTTCAGTTTTCTGTCTAAATCCTTCATCATTTCTGTGCTATTTAATGTCTTCCAAATGTGTCCTAGACTAGGAAGGATGTAGTTCTTCTGCACTAGTATTTATGTATTTAGATTTACTACTGTGAATTTATCATACAAAATTGTACAGAGGGTCTATCGCTACATACCTAGGGTGCTCTGAGAAATGTCAGCTTATGTGATAACAGGTGCAAGGGTAGCACGTCGGATGTGATGATGTGTCATAGATAGTTTTTAGGTGTGTATTGCCCTACATTTATTATGAAGATAGGAGCAGTGGTTAAGATACTAAGTTATTTTCTGTCTGAATCACAATTTTACTGATTCTGCGCAGTCAAAATGAGGCAGGATCAAATGCTGAGGTTGGTAAGTTTGCAGCTATCACCTCTAACCCTGGGTTTCTGATATGTGCCATCAGAACACATTTTAATAGGTGTTATAAAATGATCTATGTGAACTTATAAAATAAAGGAATGCTAATACAATGACCTTTTTAAAATCTGTTTTATTTATATCAAGATTCCAAGAAAGATTTCATTTGAACAAAGGGTTCCAAAAGCATAAATCTGAAAAACACTGAGGGTACACAATCTTAGTCCCTTGGATATTTTCCTCTTAGTGCCCAGGGGATAGAGAGTAGTTTCCTTTTTCTTTTCTTTTTTTTTTTTTTTAAGATTTTATTCATTTATTTGACAGAGAGAGAGAGAGAACAAGTAGGCAGAGAGGCAGGCAGAGGGAGAGGGAGAAGCAGGCTTCCCG